TTTATTTTTAATTTAGCTGATTTTTAGATACATTCATATCTAAATTATGCGCTTTTTTGCCAATTTTCCTCTTCTTTCAAGCAGGGATAATGTGGGGATCTGGATGTTTATTTTCTTTATTTCCAACAGCTAATTTTTGCTTAATACTATGTCGTTTAATTGATTCTACTTGAACACAGATATGAGCACCACTTTTAATATGAACCATAGAGTCTAGATTGTGATTCATATCGTAAAGGAAGGAAGATAACCACGAGACAGATTTAGATTTTGCTGAATTATAATGATCCTTAAACTTATCTAGTGCAGTTCGCAATAGTTGATCAGCATTTTGATAATCTGATCGAACTTCTTTCAAAAACAAGTTAAAATTAGAATTATTGTTTTCCGTAATTTCTTTGCTCTCTTCATTCAGAACCTCAGGTTCTCTAAAATTATCAAAAAAAACTGTAAAAAAAATATACAATTTATGATTAAAAAAAAAAAAACACTTACTTCCATTCGGTTCTTAATAAATCATTGAATATTTCTACTTTGTTTTCAGTGCATAAAATTTCTTGGTTTCGCAACATAGGCTATGCATGTAATGATACATAAAATGATTTATCCTAGGAAATATAGCCTAAAAAAAATTGTGTTAAAAAGAACAACCTAATTTATATTACATGATGCCACATATTGGGGAAAATTGCATAATTTTACTTACCACGTGCTATATATACATAAATTGCACGATCATCTGGTGTTAACGACGAAATGAAGTTGAATATTGAAACATGAAATTTTGCTGCAACTGCCTCCTGGTGCTTGCAAGGGGCACCAGACATTTCAACAGGACAGGAACAAACGTCAAGCTCACTATTTACAATATAATTTGTATTATCATTTTCTTTCGTGCTTGATACTAAATATTCATTATCTAGGTTTGTTTTTCGAATTGTATTAGGATTAATTGTTTCCCATCCAGAGCAGAAAAAATGTTTAGCTATACGTAAAACTCCTAGATGCATATTAGCAATTCCGAGCAACCTTCTCTCATAAAATCTTTCTATAATTGTTGTAATGAACTGAAACATCTGTACCAGATTATAAGCTTGTACCCTTGTAAAAATAATATCCTTTATAATACCAAAGCCTCGTTCAACATAATTGTTCATATTATTACCATGTAAAGGCAACCTGAGGCGAAAGGATAAAGCCCAAAACTATCGATATTCCCATAAAAGTTCCACATGTCTTTTTAATTGCAAATATTTATAATAATATTTTTGTTTAAAATCTTCATAGTGCATTTCCATTTCCAAATTTGATAATGAATACAAAATTTTTTTCATGTTTTCTATGATATGCATCTGAACTTCTTTCTCAATTTCATGTTTAGAATCATGAATCCATCTCCAGAATGCCTGTAAAAAGTGGAATATGCATAGTAAACGAACTCCTACGTACATAAGTTATAAATTTTTATTAAACTTTGTATTAAAACAAGAAAAACATGCATTTTTAATATCTAATATCGAGATTTGTTGTTCAACAATTGGTTCTAAATAATCAGAATAATGATAAGAATAAACCACACAAACTTACTAGCTCTGAATTTTGTTAAAATCAATAATATATATTAAATTAATATAGCTTTAACGAAGTGAAAGCTTACTCATAAAAATAATATATGTACTCACATGAATTGTACAAGAATTTTTTACTAGCCTAATTCGTTAAGCTACTTAAAACATTCTTAATTACCTTCTGGCCAGCATGTTTTCAGAGTGTTACGCTCAGAATGTGAATTATTGGTCAAAAAGACTATCAGTCCAACTTGTGGTCCCTGTCTATAAAATGCATTCAGTGGGAGAATCATCTTTAGTAAAGTTAACTAAATTAGTTAAATAAATAGTAAATATTAATTAGTAAAAATAAATAAATAAATAATATTTGTTTAAATATAGTAAATTATTACCGCTTTTTCAATAGTAATTTCTAGCTTATCCGATGTAAAAAAAAGTCCAAGTGGAAGAGCACCGGCCGCGCAACTAGTATATAAGAGCATGATAGATGTGTTAAGAGGATCAAAAGACACAGATGCGTCCATATAACAGATTTCTTGTGCTTGAGGAATCTTTTCATGTATTCTAGCCATCAAATTCGTAACAATGCATAAAATAAATGCATTTCCAGAATTAGAATTATATTCCTGCAAGACCGCTCTACTCTGACCTAAATTGTTATATTCTAAAACTACAGCAGCTAAACGTTTAAACATTGATTTTCCATTACAATCTCCAAGCACATTCTCACGATATTACTAAAAAAGTTTAGCAATATAATCATAACTGGGATTATAGGCTCGATCTGCAAAAATTTCTAATAACTTCTGCTCATTTGTAGTATTTAAATAGAGGTCATCTTCAAAAACATGTAATGCTGAAGCTGAGGAGTACCCATCTCAGAATAAGTTAATAAACTTTTCACGGACTCTAATATCAACATGCCGGAAACTTAATGATAATGCAGAATTAATAACATGATTGTGCGTGAATTCTATATTAATTTCTAATGAATGACTTAGTGAAAGTCGTTGACGCTCTAGTCGAAGATGAATAGTGGCAGTACAATATGTATTTCTTGCCTGAGAAGAATGTGGATTCTTTACTTTATGATGGCTCTGCTTTTCTTTTACTTTATTGCTATGAATACAGTGCCGTAGTACTCTAAAAAGTACTCATTTCCCCTTAATTTCGAATCCTTTTGTTTCTGGCATTGTTGTTTTGAACCAGATTTGAAATTCTGTAAACCATTCATGTGCTTTTTCTATATTATCAATGTTTACAAATGCGTCTAATTTAAATTTGGTATCTCAAAATTTTCCTCTGTCTGAAACGGGAGAAGATCATCAAAACTTTGAATTATATAAGTATAATTCATGGGAAGGACTAGCTTTAAAATCTCCAGTAGTAACTTCTAAGAGAAAACCTATAAAAGGATAACGATAAATATTTATGCATCCTAATAAGTATAATAAGTATAAAACTTATTGTTATTATAAGTTTTGTTGGTCGATCTTTTACTCCTATCAGAAATGTCTCTTCAGATACTCTTAGTATAGTAGTACATTGATTATGAAAAACCTGTAAAACCAAGAAAAAACTTTATTACAAACTGGTTTCGCAATGTTCACGCAGACAAATACATATTCGTTGAAATTCTAGATAAGTTTTAAGCTTTCTATTTTTTTAAAAAAATTTTCTAATCTGCAAAATATTGTCTGTAACATTACTAGTTTCTATACTTATAACTTGAGCTATAACATTAATAGTATATGAAAATGCCTTTTACGGTCAAGGAGAAAAAAAAAAAACTAATTTCAAATAGTGTATAGGAAAAGTTTCGCAATCAAAAGAATGTAAAAGATTTATATAAATAGTGATGCACAAATTACGTCAATTTTTACACTCCAATTAACAGTAAAGGTAGGAGTGATTAAACGTCATTATTTATTACAGGTAAAAATATTTAAAGAAAAAATAATTATTTTAATTATAATATGAAAACTAAGCCAAATTTCCTACTCGGATTATAGCAATAAAAAAGTTTAAGTGCAAATATCTTAATGAATATTATATTTATTTAAAGATGCTTTAGATTTTTAAGTTTTATAATTGAGAGTATCGAAATTATTTCAATTACATAAAAATTTTTATCAGAAATATTACGGGCATAGGACCGTGGAATATCTATTACTAATATCACATATCGATATCGATATATATATTCAAAATTTCAGATGAGCGTCAGGTTAGTTGATAGTCTATGATCAGCAACTTGTATAACCTAGCACACATTTTATACATGCGTTTTAGTTGTAGTATAGAAAACTGGTCTTCGTCAACTCATGCAGAATTAGAAGCTATATGAGCAGCCTTGCTAACAGCATCATGTGAGGCCCAAATTCATATATTCACTGATAGCAAAGCAGCAATAGAAGCTATTGAAAAGTGTTTAGATGACAACAAGCTAAGAAGTTAGTTTAAAATGAAAAATAGAAACTTACTTAGACAGATAAAAGACTGCTGCATAGCAAAAAGTCTAAATTTGTCATTACATAAAGTCAAAGATCATAGTGGAGACAAATAGAATGAGCAAGCAGATTATTTAGCTAAAGAAGGTACTAGAAGAACTGATATACTCAAAGTACTAGAAACAATACTAGGCAATATCTGAGTTATATCAAAGTGGAAAGACCAAATAATAGACTGCTCACTCAGATCATTTATAAATATAACAACTGCAATAACATATGAAACAGAATAGACTGAACTAAGCAAAGCAGCAGATATCATAGCCTCGAATCAGAGAGACAATGCTAGCAAAGAGCTAATTTGGAAAAACACTTGGGAAGCATTAAAAAAACGATAAGAAAAAAAGTGCATTAGTCTAAAGAAAAGCAGAGACCTAATGTTTCACATAAAATATATTAATGATATTCTACCAACAAAAGATATCTGCTATCTGAGAAATTCCAAACTATACAAGAGCAGCAGATGCATAGCCTGCTTAAGAAAAGACGAAACCTTGTATCACTTAGCAGAATGTAAAATCTACCAAAAAATATGGAGGAACCTAGAAAAGGAAACTCTATACCTAACAAGTCTCAAAGTGTTAACAAAATTGGATCTATCACTTGAAGATGATGCATTGAGGAAGGCACTCTATGGTGAAAACCTAGAAGAGAAGATGCATATTAGAAAGATGCACCTCAGAGACCTCACAAATAAGAAGCAACATACAAATATATACAAAATAGTGAAGTCCAAAAGCAAGGCAAACAAGGTATTAATTAGTTTTATTGAATAATTCTGGTCTTGTTTCTACAACGATTGTGGAAGTTCAGGTATAAAGTGATAGTTGAATGGGAAAAAGAGTACAACATTACAACTAAAGAGAAAAAAAGGAAAAAGATAAATAAAAAAGGAAAGGCAAATAAAGAGAATATATCTCTTATAAACGAAACAAAAGAATCAAAAAAGGAGAAAGAAACAAGAATTCAAAAAGTAGCTTCTGACAGAGTTGACAGATGAATAAGGTCAGATGGTAAGGAAGGATAGTTAAGGTTCAAAACAAATTAGATGATTTTGATATAGGCTAGTAGCAGCCTTTCATTGACTAAGAGCTAGAAATTTGTATATACAAGTTTAAACTCTTACGAGAGAAACAGTTGCTATGGCAAATCGTACTTAGGTGCTGAAAAGTAACTGAGTAAGTTCAGATTAGTTTTAGGAAAGTAGTTTGTTATAAATAGTATAGCATTTTACTTGTAGCTTAAATTAGCTTATTCTTAATAAAATGATGAGCAAGATCGCCTAAGTTAAAAAAAAAAAAAAAAAAAAAAAAAAAATTTATTTTAATTTAATCTTGAGAACCTAGAGCGCTAGTAAAAATACTTTATTAAATATTTATATTTTTATATCATATAGTATAATGTATTAATATTTCATTTATTTATTATTTTAATTTGATTAGTTATACTTTTCTACTATAAATTCTGGAATTTCCTTTACATCAGACCTATGGA